AGAAGAAAATAAAAATCTGGGATGCAATTTTTTTTCAGCATACAATTATACATTTTTCAACACTTTATAAACCATTATTTATGGTTAAATGTGAAATCATTATTTCATAGTTTAGAGAGTAGTTAATGGTGCCGGGCATTGCTGTACATTCTAGTCTTCCAATTATGGTTCCAATAATGCTTATGCTTACCCTGGTTGGGCCTGAAACAAGACTGAAACTAAGGGCTCAGCCCCACATATTTTGAGAAATGAACAGGGTAAACAAGAGACTTGTAGTTTAAAATTAGCATTTTGAGGCTTTTATCCTTGATGAAAATCTCTGTGGCTTTCCTCCTCTGTGGCTCTCCACTAAGTCCACATCTTTTTGAGACAGGGTCTCCCTGTAGCCCCGGCTGGTCTGAAACTCACTTTGTAGACCAGACTGGCCCTGAACTCACAGAGATGTCTTGTTTTGTTTTTGAGACAGGGTCTTACTATGTAGGACTGGCTGGCCTAGAATTCATTTTGTAGACCAGGCTGGGCTTGAACTCACAGAGATCCCACCTGTCTCTACCTCCTGGGATAAAAGGCCTGAGCCACCATGCCCAGCTGCTTCTGCTGGTTTTTTAGTAATACAGTAACTTTTAGCATGGTATAGTTATGTAATTATTCAGTTTTATTATTATTGTTAACCTCTTACTGTGCTTAATTTATAAACTTTTTCATAGGTAGTGTGTACAGGAAAAATAGTCCATGTAGGGCTCAGTACTATCTGTGATTTTTTTAGGTATCCATTGAGAATACTGGAACACATTCCTATGGACAAAAGAAGAAATCTGTATATGCAAGAGGAAATTGTATGAAGAAGGAAATTCACTTCAGCAAAAGATTATGAACAGTTTTAATGTCCCTCAATAGGGAAGTAATAGATACATATACTGGAATACTTGGTAGCCATATAAAAAATGAAGAAGCTTGTTTATGTACTGATAAAAGCTAACTGGAACTGGGGGTGGTAGTTCATGTCTGTCCTTCCAGCACCAGGGAGGCTGACGGGAAAATTGTCAAGTTTGAGGTCAGCCTTGGTTACATAATGAGTTCTAGGCCAGCCTAAAATATTGTATGAGACCCTGTCTATACAAAAAGAAATAAAAGAAAGTGATTTTCAAGTTATAACTAAAAAGGGCAAAGTGCCAAATTGCATTTGTAGTATACTATTAATTATATATAGATGTGTAGAAATAAATTCATGTAAAACATAGTATACATTCTAGTTGCACAAAATATATTCGTGTGTTATAGTGCATTTAGTTTTGGTACTTTATTATTTTTACGTTTATGAATGTATTGCCTCTAGTGTAGTAGGTAGGTAGCTGTCATAGCGATAAGCCTAGCACTTGGGAAGCTAAAGCAGGAGGATTGCCATGAGGTCATGGCCAGCCTGGGCTATAGTATGAAACCTTGTCTTAAAAAAAACACAAGTGCAAAATCAAATTTTAAAAGGAGGGGTGCTGGAGAGATCTCTTCAGAGGACCTGTGTTCACTTCTTAGGACCCACACGGCAACTAGTATAACTCCAGTCCCAGGAGATTGGATACCTTCCGGCCTTTGTGGACATTGTACAACATGGGTGCACTTACATCCATCCATCCCATATACTCATGCACATAAAATAAATTAAAAATTAAAAAACCCTAAGTGTTAATTTTATTTATATAACTTTATATATAATTTATTATATATCACATAAGTACATATTACATAAATATATGTATGTGTTTTAATGTATGTATTTGCTTATAGATTATCTCTGGGAGAACAGTCAAGGGAATGACAACATCACCTCTTGAGATTTGGGTGATGAGGGAGAGAAGCAGATAGGAGACTTCTCCATATGCAAAGGTCTTGAATATTATACCTTGGGATAATGTCCAGCAGACAGAGACCACCAGGAAGACATATGTTGGCCAAAAAAAGCTAGGTTTATTAGTTTTCTGCAGCAAGAAAGACTCCATACCAGAGAAACTGTATCAGTAAGAGAGAAAGGGAATGGACTTTTATAGTGTCAGGGCTTTTTGCAATGACTGAGGAAGTTTAGGGGAAGCAACCATCAACTCTGGAAAGAGTATGTAAGCAATCTGTTCAGGAGGCATGAGCAAAGGCAGGTAAGCAACCCTGAAAGGCAGAGAGATGGGGCAAGACACCCTAACCCTACAGAGGGACTTGGATTTTGGTTTCTGAAGCCCCTCTTTATCTCTGTTAGATGAAGGCCAGCCTGGCCTATATAATGAATTCCAGGTCAGCTGGGGCTATAGAGACTCTGTCAAAAAAAACCAAACCAAAACAACAACAACAACAACAAAAAAACTGAATCCCCTCCTTGCTTGAGGGGAGTGTGTTACTCTGTATTCTATATGTGTTTCTTTTCTTTTCAAGACAGGTTTCCTTGCAGCTCCAGCTGGCTTGGCATTCACTATGTAGACCAGGCTGGCCTTGATCTCACAGGGATCTGCCTGCCTCTGCTTCCTGAGTGCTAGGATCAAAGGCATGCACCACCATGCCCAGCTCTTTATATGTTTCTTTACTTTTAAAAAAGTTTGTTTTCTGTTATATCTGAATTCTTCCTGCCTTTTAATTATTTAATTGGCAGGAAAAAAAAGAAACCTATCCAGGACCCCTACCTAGATAATAATATGAGGAACAAGGGAGGGCTAGGGAACTTACAGGTAAATAAGCTTTAAGGGCTGAAAAGAAGGTTGCTAGTTATTTTGCAGGTGTGGCATGGCCTCAGGAAAAGTAGTTTTCTGATGGGATGGTCACTTGCCCTGTTTGTATCTATTAGGTATATCACAGAGTGATTACACTAATTACTGATCTTTACTTTCCCAGTCTTGAACCAGTTTTTACTTTGTGACACTTGTATGTGTTAAAAAACTAAGAAAATCTGGGGACTAGGGAGATGGTCCAACGGTTAAGAGCACTGGCTGCTCTTGAAGAACTGGGTTCAATTCCCAGTACCCACATTGCGGCTAACAACTGTCCTAACTCCACTACCAGGGGGATCCGATGCCCTCCTCTGACTTTCACAGGCATTGCACAACATAATTGCACTCACATACAAGTAGGCAATGCACTCATACACATTAAAAAAATAATAAATATGGGCTGGAGAGATGGCTCAGCGGTTAGGGGCACTGGCTGCTCTTGCAGAGGACCCACCCATGTTTGAGTCCCAGCACCCACATGGCAGCCAACAACCGTCCATATCTCCATCAGGGGATCTGACCCCCTCTTCTGACTTCCACAGGCACTGCACAACACAGGTATGCTTATATACATGCAGGCAATACACTCATACACATAAAAATAAAATAACGTAAAAATAAAATTTACACACACACACACACACACACACACACACACACACACAGACGTCTTTTTGAGACAGGGTCTCCCAGTAGCCCCAGCTTGCCTGGAACTATGTAGACCAGGCTGGCCTTGAACTCAGAGAGCCACCTGCCTCTGCCTCCCGGGTTCTGGGACTAAAGACGTGTGCCACCGTGTCTGGCTAAATATATTTTTTTAACTAAGAAAATTTAAAATACGTTAACTGAAAATAGGGGTTGGCGAGATGGCTCAGCAGTTAAGAGCACTTGTTGCTCTTGCAGAAAACTTGAGTTTGGTAACCAGTGGTTCATAACTGCTATAATTCTTGCTCCCTCTGCACCTGATGCCTTCCTCTGGCCTCTGTAGGTACCCACCCCCATGTGGCATACACATATAAATGAAATAAATCTCTGGAAATTAAATAAAAATAAACCTCCATATACTTCCTAAACTTATACTGCAAATTCTCTGGCAAATAAAAGACTTTTTAAAGTCCAAGTCTCTGCATTTTCACCTTCACCAGGAGCTTACTTAAGCGTACTTGGCATTTGTATCATTTTTCAATATTTATAACTGTTTCCCCAGAGGCTAATTCTAAAAATATAAGGGGTAAAAGCCCACATTGCCCTAAATAAACTTCAACGGAGATCTCTGGTACAGGGAGCAATATTTAGGGCTAACAAAAGTTTCAAGGACTGGAATAGATGTCTGAAATGTTAGCTACAGACCCAGCACTTAACAATTGGCGGCACCTCCTTCCAATGCTGCTATGCTCATAGGAAAGAATTCATAAGAGAAATACTGTTAAAAGGAAAAACGATGGTGTAGATAACATTGAAAGAGCTTTTCAAAATGGACCCAGGAGACAGACTACTAAGAAGCAGGGCTTAGGCATGATTCAAGCTGTGGCATAGGAATGTGACCGTTGGTTAGTTTTATCCTTTATCTGAGAACACTGAGAACAGATAATTACACTATATCCAGGAACTCAAGATTATTATCAAGAAGTCATAGGACTGGTTTTACTGACATTTTTATTAAATGGATGCATTCCTTCATCTTCGTTGGTTGCACAGCCCCTGTCACACGAACACCCATTCAATCAATTTCAAGGGAAGTTTCCTACAGAGGAATCTTCACTGCTTCGTACTGCTTCCCTGTTTAAGTTTCCTGTGCCGCCGAGTCGCAGGAGTTTCTGCGACTGTCTTCCGAACTGAGCCTATGTCTTCCGAACTTCCTAAAACCCCAAATATGGGTCTGGTCATTTTCTTTTACAGTTTTGGAGTAGGGACTGACTGACGACGGTGGAAAGGTAGATGTCTTTCACCAGAGGCAAGCATTGGTGAACAGGTCTTATATTTTTTCACCTATTTTTTATAGAAACATCATCGCGCTCCTTTCAGGGGTGTTCCTCATGAAGCTGGAGTGTCATTAGATGACCACGACTTCAGATCCTCAACCATCCCTCCCAGATTTACTACGTTTTTACAGCCGAGAAGTCTCAGCTGGGCGGCACTTAACGCGCCTCTCCATCCTCTAACTTCGAGTGACGCTTCCGCCTCCCTTCTGATTGGTGGATTGCCCTAACTTCTCTCTGCGTAGCGCTGGACTCGGTGCTGGATCCGGCGCGCGGTGATGACGACATCGGCCGCCGGTAGCCGCGACGGTGGCGGCGCCAGGGAAGCGGGGAGGGCTTCCGGGCCGCCGGCCTGACTGCTCGGAGCTGCTGTCATGGCGGGCGCTCCGTGGGCCTTCTTTTCCACACTGCTGCTGCTACTCTCAGGGAATGCTCAAAGCTCCGAGGTGCCCGGCGCTGCCGCCGAGGGTCCGGGAGGGAGCGGAGTCGGCCCGGGAGATCGTTTCAAGATCGAGGGGCGTGCGGTGGTTCCGGGGGTGAAGCCTCAGGACTGGATCTCCGCTGCCCGAGTGCTGGTAGACGGAGAAGAGCACGTCGGCTTCCTTAAGTGAGCATCCTGAGGGCAGCGGGAAAGGGTTTGGGGTGGACGCTGAAAGGGTATCCCGCTGGGAGAACCAAGTGTCAGGACCGGCAGCGTTTCTGTCACCAAGCGAGGTGACCGGTTCCACTAACGGTCTGTGCTGGGAGACCTTGGTCGGATCCTTCCCGTTTCGCTGTGGGTACTGCAGCCCGGGGGAAGGGAGGCCGTTGTCACAGGCCCGAGGCATTGGGGGTCAGTTATTTGTAGCCCCATTTTTGACTCCTGTATGAGGCGCATCACTCTTGGGGCCAGGGGACAAGTGAACTCTCACCTGTCTCTTAGTGAAAAAAATTTCCCTCTGCATTTCTGGTTTGTCTAGAACCTTGTTGCTTTTTCCATTTCAGTCCTCTGGTAGCTTGGTGTGTAGAAAGATGCTAAACAAGTGGGAATTGTCAAAGCCCAAAGGGCTTCCAATGATGGCATAGACTGGAAGGCTAATAATGTTGCTGCTTCTAAAATTAATGAGCCCTGAAGTCCCTAATCAAACCATTTTTTTTGGGGGGGAGCTGGGGTTGTGATTGTTGTTCTTTTTACACTTGAAAATTCGTCGAGGGATTTGCGATACCACATTTGTCATTTGTTTCTCAAGAGTGCTCACAGACATTTGCCCTTTCTAGTCAAGAGATAACAGGATTTCTGTTAATATTATAAGGTGGATAGATGTATTAGCACTTTAGTTTGCCGGCAGCCTGTTTTCTTAGGTTTAGGCATGAATATGATGTTTTAAATCTTGCCGTCACTGCTTGGAGTTGAAACTATAAACCGAAATCAAATATTTAGGAAAGGAAATATTTCTTTGCTAGGTTTATAGATGCAAGTGATGTTTGAAAAACCACACATGTTAAATGTGGACATTTAAATTCGATTTGCAGATTGTGCAGATTGACTTAAGTTTCGTTGTGGGAAATTCAACATCAGATTAATAACAACAAATTGACATCCAGTATTTTAATACTGAGGATTAGCCTTAACTGATAATTTGCCTTCTGCAGTATACAGCTGTTTTGAAAATTAATTTATTCCATTTAAAATTTTTTTAAATATATTGTTACATATTTATTGTATATTAGCCCTGCATATTGGCACATGGCTATAATCCTAGCTACTTGGCTTTTAAGCTAAGGCAGAAGAATCTTAAGTTCAAGGCCAGTTTGGGCAATTTAGCTGAGACCGTATCTCAGACAGGAAGAAAAAAAGCTAGGGATATAGTTTTGTGGTAGGACTTAGCATGCAAAATGGGTTCATGCCCTAGCACTGCCAAATAAATAATATTTAATGAATAAATATAAACAAGAAGTTTTCTTTTTAAAAATTGCAACAGAAGATAACCCTTTTTATTGTGTCTTTCCCCCCCAAAGTTTTATAATAATATGATCTCTGTTTAAGAGTAAAGCATATAATACTGTGTAGCCTGCCACTTTTATTTAACATTTGTGAACAATTTTTTTTTTTTTTTTGGTCTTTTTGAGACAGGGTCTCCCTGTAGCCCCAGCTGTCCTGGAACTTACTAAGTAGACCAGGCTGTCCTTGAACTCGCAGAACTCCGCCTGCCCCTGCCTCCTGAGTGCTGGGATTAAAGGAGTGTGCCACCACACCCAGCTGTGAACAATTTTTATACTAGTTCATGTTCTTACACTTATTTAGAAAAGTTGGTTGAAAATTGATAGGATTTTATGGTGATAGTCTTCTTGGAAGTAGGGTAGGTAATTTGTTTTGTAGCTGTTTTGATAACTAGCATACAGCTTTTACTTTTTAAAAAATATTTGTTTTCTTGGGAGATGGCTTGGGAATTTGCTAATGGAGATGAGGGGATTTGGGGATGAAGAGTACTCAAGCTATTTCTTAAATCATTACTGTGTATATAAACCATAACTCACTTAACCAGTCTTTTGATATGGTAAGATTGTATACTACTTATTTTTATTTTTGAACCTTTTGTGTTTTGTGTTTGAACCTTTTGTGGTGTATAGTCCAAGCTGTTCTCAAAGTCAAGATCCTACTCCCTCTACCTCCTGAGTGCTGGGAATGTGATTACAGGTGTTTGCTACCATGCTAAGCTTTGCTTTTTCTTTAGGTAATTCTGATATTATTTGTGTTGTACAGTCATCAATTTATTATTATTTTTTCTTTCTGTGCTCAGACAAATGTTTTGACATTTGTTCTCAGGGTCCATCAAGAAGCACAAGGTGGCAGATGATGATCACACACATTTAGATCCCAGCACTTGGGAGGGTCAGATAGTAGATTCATGAGTCTAAGTCCAGCTTGGGTTACATAGAAAGACTGTTTCTAAAAACAGAACATTAGAATATGTACTCAAATTAGAATAGTTCATATAGAGTTTAATTAAAGGATTAAACAGTGTGGTCATTCTATAGGGAAACAGCCAGATTGTGCAGATGCCTGGAACTTACAAAGCTTATAACTCTACGCTGTTCATCCAATAATATATGAAATGTAAAAAAGAAAGAAAGACTACTACTAAGTCTTACGCTAAAGGGAAGAAAGGGCCTTGCAAGGAGCTGTGGTCCTAAGCAGAGCCAGTCAGTAATGGCCTGTCAGTGATAAAGCTGGAAATATGCTTAGGCCTCTTTCTTCCCTCCTATAGGCATGAAGACAAGGATAGAAGTGGATTTGGAGGATGTGAGGGTGATCTGACTGAGACAGCAGTCACTCCAGTGATTGCCAGGGTTGATTCATCCAATCTGGCCAGTTAGTCAGGTGTCCCTTTCCTCACTGCTCCATGTGCATCCCTCCTGAAGCTGCTAGAGCCTTCAAACAAGCTCTCCAGGTCCATTTGGGAGTGAGTCTGGAGGGCAAATGGTGTCTCAGGAATTAGGTATTTAAATGCTACATTTCAGTTCTATTTTACTAGAGTATATACTTTCAATGACAAAGAACACCTTTATACTTTTATAATGTCTTTTCTCCCCTTGAAATAACAGGTTTTCATTTTCAAACATTAATTTTGACCTGCAAGATGAAATTATCAGCTCTTGATACAATGATTTTTTTTTTTTTGAGTCTTGTAGACTTAGAGGAAATAAATAAGGAAAAGATAGATGGTTTTAGCTACTAACATTGTAGACTTCTGTATAATTGGCCAAAAAGTAACTAAATGAGACTGTTTATAATAAGTGGAACAAATAATATTTATATGTTTATTGTATGTGTAAAAGAAAGCCAGCAAAACAAAACTAGAACAGAATTCCATTTAAAAATTTATTTATTTAATGTGTATGAGTGTTTTGCCTGCATGTGTATAAGTTGACCTGTGTGGTGCAATGCCTGCGGAGGCTAGAAGTGGGTGTTGGATCCTCTGTAATTGGAGTTATGGATGGTTCTTACTAGCCATGTGGTTGCCGGAAACCAACCCAGGTCCCTTGGAAGAGCAGCCAGTGCTCTTTATTGCTGAACCATCTCTCCAGCCCCTAGAATGCCATTTTTAATAGTTAGGGGGAATCTGACAAAAATTGGGACCCTAATATAATAATATATACTGTAATAATAATATATACTGATAGTTTCCTTTCAAAGAAGACATGTCTTCAGAATAGGAACCATGTTCTTGTTACTGTCACTGTCCACAGAAGGAGTCTCTATTACTCTGGTGTGGCCTCATCATTTTCAAAAATTATAATTGTGGAAGATGAAAATAGGACTATTTTTAATTTTATTATTTATTTTTATTTTATGTGTATGTGTTTTGCCTGCATGTATGTAAGTGCACCACATGCATGCAAAGCTGTGGAGGGCAGAAGAGGGTGTTGGATTCCCTAGAACTGGACTTACAGGTGGTTGTTAGCCCCGATATGGGTGCTGGGAACCAAACCCAAGTCCTCTGCAAGAGCAGCCAGTGCTCTTAACTGCTGAGCCATCTCTCCAGCCCAGTGTAGGGCTACTCTTGCCACTTTTTGTTTGCTTGTTTGCTTGTTGGTTTGTTTGGGGAGAGGGACACAAATTCACTCCTTAGCCCAGGATGGCTTTGAATTTACTATGTAGCTCAGACTGGCCTTGAATTCACAACCATCCTTTTGTTTCTGTTTCCCAAGTATGTGATTACAGGGGTAAGGTCACCACACCTATATAGTTTTTCTTTCCTTTTTTAAAAATATAGTTAGTTGGGGCTGGAGAGATGGCTCAGCAGTTAAGAGCACTGACTGCTCTTGCAGAGGACCTGGCAAGAGGTCCCAGCACCCACATGGCAGCTAACAACTGTCCTAACTCCAGTTCCAGGGGATCTGATGCTCTCCTCTGACCTCCTCATGCATTACACAACATGGGTGCACTTACATGTATGCAAGCAGTACACTCGTACACGTAAAATAAATAAACAAACAAAAATAAACATAATAAAAGAACTTTTAAAAAATAAATGAAAATCTAGTTAGTTGCTTCTAATTGTTTGTTTGAGACCAGGTCATACACTATAGATAGTCCAGGCTATCCTGGAATTCACTAAGTAGCCTAGGCTGGCACTGAACCCACAACAATACTCCTGCCTCAGCCTCTCAAGTGCTGGCTGTACAGGTGTGAGCCACCATGACTGGCTTTCTTCTAATGTTTTTTTGAGAATTGTTTGGGAAATTAAAAAAATATTTTAAAGCACAGGGAAAGTCTAAGGGGTTGATAAGAAGTAAGAAAATATGATTTTCCTTCTTTCCAGGACAGATGGGAGTTTTGTGGTTCATGATATTCCCTCTGGATCTTATGTAGTGGAAGTTATTTCTCCAGCTTACAAATTTGATCCTGTCAGAGTTGATATCACTTCAAAAGGAAAAATGAGGTAAGGGTATCTGATTTATTTTTACTAAAGTCTAGTCTACTTAATTGATTTATGTATTCCTTTTGGAATCTATAAAGTTGAAACTTTTTCTAATTTATAGTTATTCCTTAAAACATTTAAATTACTCTTACGTTGTTTTATTCAGAACACTAATTAAACTGATGTTAAACTTCTTCCCTCTCTAGCTTACAATTGTGATAATGCTCCAAATATGATAAGCTTTTAATATAATAGCATAGAGAAAAGATAGGGTTACTCAATGTAGGGACAGGGGTACTATGCAGATTATAACTGAAATGTAAATTTTTTTTTTTTTTTTGGTCTTTTTTGAGACAGTGTCTCTGTGTAGCCCCAGCTAGCCTGGAACTCATTATGTAGGCCAGGCTGGCCTTGAACTCACAGAGATCTACCTGCCTCTCTATGCTGGGATTAAAGGCATGCGCCACCCCGTCCAGCTCTGAAATGTAATGTTTAAAGTTGAGAATTAACTTTTTGGGATGAGAAATACTAACTCCTCACTTTTCATTGGAATATTATGATTAATGCCTCTACTTACTTATTTGATGCTGTTGATTTAGAAATTGGTATAGCTTCTCCTTTCTGAAATTTGTAGTGTATAATGGAAATAGGTTACCTTGTGGAGTTTATCTCAAAATGAGGATCATGATGAAAAGATTAGAATGGGCCAGTGAGGTGGCTCAGTGAGTAAAAGTGCTGGCCACCAAGCCTAATGATTTGAGTTTGATAGGGACACACATGGTAGAAGGAGAGAACCCACTGTTGCAAGTTATCTTCTGACCTCCACAAGTGTACTGTGGCATGTATGTACCCACACATATATACACAATCAATCAATAAATAAAATGTAATAAAAATTTTAAGGGAGAAAATAGTTATTTGAGGCTGGCAGAGTAAGAAAGAATTTCAATTTTTCTTCTTTTTTTAAATATTTTATTATTTTTATTTTATTTGTATGGGTGGGTGTATTGCCTGTATGTATGTAAATGCACATATGTTGTGCAGTGTCCACAGAGGTCAGAAGAGGGCATCAGATCTTCTGGAGCTGGAGTTACAGACAGTTGTTAGCCCCCATGTGGGTGCTGGGAACAAAACAGGTTTTCTGCAAGAGCAGCCAGTGCTTTTAACCACTGAACCATCTCTCCAGCCCCTTTCCTATTTTTGACACAGGGTCTTGCTGTGTAGCTAAGGCTAGCCTGTAACTCTCTATGTAGCTCAGGCTAACCAGGAACTTTATTTGTAGCCAAGCCTAGCTTGGAACTCTCTCTCTCTCTCTCTCTCTCTCTCTCTCTCTCTCTCTCTCTCTGTCTCTCTGTCTCTCTCGAGACGTCTGTCTGTCTGTCTCGAGACAGGCTCTCCCTATAGCCTCAGTTGGCCTAGAACTTGCTATATATAGACCAGGCTGGCCTTGATCTCACAGGGATCCAACTGCGTCTGCCTCCCAAGTGCTAGGATTAAAGGCATATGTCACTACACAAGGAATTTGGAACTTTTATAGTCCAGGCTGAGCTTGAATTTATGATCTTCCTGCCTTGGCCTTCTGAGTGTTAGGATTACAGTTATATGCTTCCACTTTTGGCAAAATTTCAGAGTTTGTAAGTAAATGGACTTGTGTTTTAAACTTGAGGTGAAAAAAAAAACTTGTTCTAATAAGGTTTGAGCAATAAAGTTTGGATGATTGCATGAATGCCCATAGTCTTCAACTCAGCCTTCCATTATAAGAGAACAAATGTATTTGCTCATTATTTTATTGTCACATGCAGTGATACCCTCTTTGGTCAAATCTGACCAGAAAGTATAAGAGGCAACTTTCAGTGATAATGGCTCCTTTTGAACTATCACAGTATTACTCTATAGTTGTGCAAAGGCTAACACTATTTTGGGGATGGAAGGAGCTATAAGTTATTACTGATCTTTTTGCTCAGTATGTGCCAAGGATAGTTAGGATGATTTAAAGAGACCTCAGATTTATCTAGCAGCTAGTACCATATGATTACTGTTTGTCTTTTCTCCTAATCATTTTCTTCTGTTTTTGCTCTTTTATTTTCTCCTGGCATTGCAAATTTTTAAGATAGATATAATATGTAAATATGTCATAATTTAAGTAGAATAAGTTATACACAGAACTGTCTCATCTTTTATATTGTATTTTGGTATTGATCGTTTATATGACCAGCTCCTATCGATAAATAACTGGTGTTTTCTTCTTCCTCTTGTAGTATGTATTGTGAACAGAGACAGCTATCTAGAAAACAAGTTGTTGATGTTATCACGAAGCCAGTCCTATGGTGCTATTGATTAATTCAGTCCTTAAATTACTTCCTATCCTATTTTTGAAATTATTGTCTTAGAACATTCTACTTTGTCCAAATTCTGGTCATATTTCTTGCATATGGCTACTTAGAGCAGGGCTGAGCATCAGTGGAAGGTAATAACTTTGCAAATACATTCATAAATAATTTTGTGATGAATAAATGGGGTGTTTCAAAGTATATTCAGTCTCTTAGTTGTTGATTTGCTTATGTCTTTAGAAACAAGGTTTTAAACATATAAATAGGTAAAATTCTATTATGATATATCTTAACTTTAAAGACTTAATGACTATATATTTTAGGTTTGCAAACTTAGAAGTGAGGGTGTGTAGACCATTGTTTACATGATGTATATGGGTTTAAACTTGTTTATAGCAGAATATTGGGGGGATGGGACTTGTTAAACAAAAGGAATACTTGTCTACTCAGAACTATAATGTTTTATTTGCCTTTTGCTTTTTGAATTTTGAATAAAGTAGTCAAATAGGAGTATTTTTCTAAGTATATGATTTTCTTTTCCTTTTTACTTTGGATTAAAAAAATACTTCCTGAGTGGTAGTGCAGGGCTATAATCCCAGCATTTGGGAGGCTGTGGGAGGATGATTGTGGCAACATATTGAAAACCTATTTCAAAAAAACAGACGATGAGATAGAACTACTACAGTAATAGAGGCATTGGAATATAAAGTCAGTGGATGTGTAAAGGTGCTCAACAGAAGTTGATGAACTGGAAGATCAATTAAGAAAAATAAATAAATAAATTGCTAGACATGGTGACACATTGCCTTTAATCCCAGTGCTCAAGAGGCAGAGGCAGAGGCAGGCAGATCTCTGTGAGGTAGGTCATGTCTGCCTGATCTACATAGTAAGTTTCAGGCCAGCTCGGATTATAGGGGGACCCTGCCTTAAAAAACAAACAAAAGAAACAGAAAAGAACAACAACAAGAAGAAAAATTGTCCAAAATACAACACAGATAAAGAAATGGGCAATAACAGCATTGACAAAAAAATAAAAAATGAACAATGTGGGACTGGAGAGATGGCTCAGCAGTTAAGAGCACTGGCTGCTCTTGCACAGGACCCAGGTTCGGTTCCCAGCACCCATGTGGCTGCTAGCAGCCATCTGTAACTCCAGTTCCAGGGGATTCAATGCCCTCTTCTGGCCTCTGTGGGCATTGCATGACATGAGTACTCTTACATATGTGCAGGCAGAACACTCCTACACATAAAATAGAAATAAATATATAAAAATCTTATTTTTTAAAAATGAACAATATAGGGGACAATTTCAAAAGTAAATTAGATTCCTCTGTGTGGATGAAGGTTTTGATTTTATTACTATATCCCTGGTAAAAATGAGATGTTACCAAGAAAGTCCAGGGCTTTCTTGAATCATGTATTTTTCCTGAAAAAATAGCCATGTCTTAGACTATCGAAAACATATAAGTCAGTACTTTTGTATGTCTTTAGTAAAATAAATTAATTATTACATATAATGAAAGGACTTTAAAACTGAAAATTCTAAAAATAAGTTTTGGGGTTTTGCTTTGTTTTTTTGAGACAGAGTCTCATTGAGCCCAGGCAGGCGAGCTTTGAACTGACTTTATAGCTAAGGCTGGCCTTGAACTCCTGATCCTCCTGCCTCCACCTCCCAATGCTGGGGTTATAGGGGTATGCCATCATCCAGTTTTGCAAAAACTTTTGCTATAAAAAGAAGTTAAGGAATTTGTCTCAGCCTACAAGTGTAGGAAGTGATGGAGCTAAAGCTAGAAGTTTCCAAGTCTAGTGTTCTTTCTCTGTACTTAAATGAGTATTTTAGACATACATGTAAAGCTGCTTTGATTAGAATTTCAAGATCAAAATTTTAGATGCTAAACTATTTTGGAAAAAGCTGAAGCTAAGTATAAGACTTTGCTAATATAAGCAATTATATAGCCTTGTTTTTTGCTTGTTTTCATTTGCTTTGGTTATGTATGCTTTGTTTTTCAGTACACCATTATCTCACTAGGACTTGTACATGCTAGACACAGGCTCTACCACTGAGCTTGAACCCCAGCCCTAGTCATATTTTTAATAGAATTATACTTCTCTTGTGTTTCCTAATTAGAGCAAGATATGTGAATTATATCAAAACATCAGAAGTGGTCAGACTACCCTATCCTCTCCAGATGAAATCTTCAGGTCCACCTTCTTACTTTATTAAGAGGGAATCATGGGGCTGGACAGACTTTCTGATGAACCCAATGGTATGTATCAAGCTAAAATAAAGCATTTTACTAATACCTGATTTGCTTTTGCACTTGAATACTTTAAGCTTGTATGAGTGGGAAGGCTGAGATTAATGTTTTATTGTTACTGTTTTGAGGCAAGGTTTCATGTATACCAGGCCGGCCTTGAACTTGATATGTAGCAAAGGATGACCTTGAACTTCTGATTTTTCTGCCTCTACCTCCCAAGTGCTGGGATTATAGGCCTATGCCACCATGCCTGCTTGTATTATGCAGTGCTGGGGCTTGAACCCAGGGCCTTCTGCATGCTAGGCACACACTCTACCAAAGGAACTACATCCACAACCCCTCAAGTATGGTGTTCTTTTAAAAAAAAAAATTGCTTACTATTTTTATTTTGAGCATGAATCTATTGCTTGCATGTTTGTAAGTATACCTGTGTCATATAGTGCTCAAGAAGGTCACAGAGAGCATTGAAGCCCCTGGAACTGGAGTTACAGACCATTGTTAGTTGTCATGTGGGTACTGGAATCTGAACTCGGGTCCTCTGCAAGAGCAGCCAGTGCTCCTAACTGCTGAGCCATCTCTCTAGCCCCTCTTTTTCCTTTTTTGGCATGTGTAGTGAACAGAGAAATTATTTTAGGGTCTTTTAAGTAATTAGTATTATCCTGAAACTGATATTGATACTATTAATAGAATATATTTTTCAGAAATAAATGATCTTTTTCAAAGCCATTTTTGAAAATTTAATTACTATCTTAGAATTATCTAAATTTGGATTGGATTATTTGTTGATAACTATTTAGATCACAAACAGTGCTATTTGGGGTCTGAACATCTTCTAGAGAGGAATAAATTAGAACCTCAAGTTTATTAGCAGGAGAGGCTAGGCCAGGTGGCACATACCTTTAATCCTAGTACTTGAGAGGCAGAGACACATAGATCTCTGTGAGTTCGAGGCCAATCTAGTCTATATAGTGAGCGCCAGGCCAGCCAGACCTACACAGTGAGACCCTGCCTTAAAAAAGAAAAAAAAAAAAAGGTGGGAAGTGGGGGTGGTACAGGAGAGTAGTCAGCACTGAGACTCCAGAACAGTTTCATCCTCACTGTTCTAGTTTCTGAAGTTTCACAAAGCTATGTTGAATGCTAGAGGATTCTAGGTCATTTTCAAAACTAATCTGCTCAAGCAATTGCTTTGCACTGTGCTGCACGCTCTAGAGAATGTGTGTTAATGAGAGTGGCAATGCAGTGCTTTCTCCAAGAAGCAATACACAGTCATCTGAAAAGGACATTCCTCCTGGCTATTGGAATCACCAGTCCCAGTCCAGCTTACAGGAAGAAGAGAAAGCAGACAGTGCCATTTGGAAATCATTTGTGTTAAAACTGAACCCTTAACAAAGATAGGAAGCACATAACAAGAAATGTGGTGTCAGTAGAGCACACATGAACAAGACCCTTTCAGTCTATGACACTGCTGCAATCACAGCACCTCAAATCAAACTGGTTGTAATGTTGACGTAATTGCCATAAATTCTATGTACATACCTGAATCTTTAGTTTTGTCACTGGTTACTAAATGCAGTTTTTGTTTTACTGACCAAAGTGGGAGGAAAAGAATTTGTAATTTCTTTTTTCTACAGGTTATGATGATGGTTCTTCCATTGTTGATATTTGTGCTTCTGCCTAAAGTGGTCAACACAAGTGATCCTGACATGAGACGGGTAAGGCGATTGCCCAGCTGTGGGTTTTTTATTCATGTTTTAAAAAATTCATGCATATATTATATATATAAAAGTGACACTGAGCTTGTGTGTGTGTGTGTGTGTGTGTGTGTGTGTGTGTGTGTGTGTGTGTGTGATTCTGGGAAAGTGCTCTACTACTGAACAATAGAACTATCTTCAGTCCCCTCCCCTATTTAAAAAATTTTTGTTTGGGATAGAATTTCACTAAATGGCCCAAGCTGGCCTTGAACTTTCAGTCCTGCCTCAGCCTCCCATGCTAGCCTCCCATGATTCTGATGCTTAATCTGTTCTATTGGGTCTGGATGACTTGAATATTTTCAATATTTTAGTTCTCACTGCAGATTCATCTAAGAGTCTGTACAGACACAGTGTTGTATCCCTTTTGTTCAGATAGTTGTTTCCATTAAACAAGATGAATTCGGTTAGCTGCTGGTAAAGGCCAGTGTCTCTTCATACAGTTAAAGCATTGTTTTAGTCTTAGCCTCTTTGTGGGCCCCACTTGTTAAAATTATTGAAATTCATAATAACCCTAGTAGGACTAACCAAAATATTTTACAAATTGTTGTTCTTTTAATGTGTTTTTGCTTAATAGCACTGTCTTGAGAGTACATACTCAGTTTATATGTTCAGAGGTACAAGAAATTCAGGTAGGTCCAGGGGGACAAATCGAACAGTAGCTTTCAGACTCTGTAACACAAAACAGGGCCAGTCCTGCAGAAGAGAAAGGAGTCATGGTTGCTTCAGATTTAGCACTGCCACACTATCTCTTCTAGTTTTGGCTTTCATATAAAGTCTTCATCTCTATAAACCATTGTTCATTTTGGCACATAATAGCCATCAACAAATACTTTCTGAGAGAGAAGATCCTCTACTGTTTTTAGTATCTGGTGTATTGACAGCTTAGTCATTGTGCCTAGGTTCTGGATGCTGAAGATGCAAAAAATGAATTACAGGCCAACTCTGTCATTAATAACCTCATAATCCAGTTAATGTAGTAAATGAATGGGTTTATATTCTTTTGCGATTAAGGGATCTTGTGGATTTTCAATTGCTCTTTAAAAATTTTTATTTTTGTTTTATTTTATTTGTATGAATGTTTTGCCTGCATGTATGTAAGTGCATCTGTGTCTTGCAATGCCCATGGAGGTCGGAAGAGGGTGATGGATTCCCTGGAACTGGAGTTAGGCATGGATGTTAGCCTCCATGTGGGTACTGGGAACTGAACCCAGACCCCTGCAAGATCAGCTGGTGCTCTTAACAGCTGAGCCATCTCTCCAGCCCTCAATTTCCTTTCTTTAAATGGCAAAATAAGATATTCAAAGGATGAATAAAATATAACATTTGCTAGGATAGTAGGCGATTAAGTTTTGTTGAAAGTAATGCTTCTGTTTCCAACTGTAATGTCAGAAAAAGAAAGGTTTATGATACTTTTAAAATGTTTTAGAGCCAGAAGCTCGATGTCGTCATGCATGACTTTAATCCCAGGGCAGGGGGCGGGGGGGAGGGTACAAAGGCAGGAAGATCTCTGTGAGTTTGAGGCCAGCCTGGTCTCCATAATGAATCTAGGCCAGCTGTGTCTCTGGAGACCCTGTCGCAAAAAGACCAAAAAAAAGTTTTAGAGCCAGGTGTGGAGGTGCATGCCTTTCATCCCAGCCCTCAGGAGGCAGAGGAAGACAGATGTCTGTGGGGTCAAGGCCAGCCTGGTCTGCATAGCATATTTCAGGCCAGCTTGGGCTTCAGGGAGACCATCTCAAAAAAAATAATAAAAATAAAAATTGGTTTTTGGCATCTTTGCGCAGTTTGGGTCAAAAAGTAATACATCCTGTGCAGTTCTTCTATGAAAGGGAAAAATCTGATTGCTCTCATGGCACCAGTGGAAGGAAACATCACAAGTTACATTTGCTTAAAAACTCATTGCCTGCCGGGTGTGATAGTGCAGGCGGATCTCTGTGAGTTCAAGGTCAGCCTGATCTACAAATTGAGTTCCAGGCCAGTTGGGGCTACAGGGAGATCCTGTCTCAAAAAGACCAAATAATAAATAAATCAATAAATAAATAAAATAAACCCACTCCT